GGAGATTTCTGCTTGTTATGGGGCTCGAAGAAACACTAGAGGTGGTTTTGTTACATTCAGGCACTAGGAATTCTCGGAGGATGTTCTCCAAATGCTATTTTTGTCCTTTGCTTTCCTGCTATATAATCTAGATGAAATGGGAAAACAGAAAAGAGGCATGAATATAAATACAGCTTACATTTGTGCTGTAGAGACCTGAATGATTTATGATTTCAATGCATATTCAGAGACCTTTAAAAACTGATATTCAACCCTGAGACCATATCTGCAGATGCTTTGTTTTGGCTATGCAAACAAATCTTTAAGACATAATTGCACTTTCTCTGTATATAACCAAAATCCGTACAGCTTATTCAAATATTCAAAAGAAAAGTGCTACTTTAAGACATTGGAGATTATTGTTCACAAAATCTTGTCGTTTCTGTAATAATTCTTAAAATTATCTCACTTGGCTCATCTTTCACTGGCTACCTGGATGCACTCTGGAAGAATAATACACAAAAAAAAATGTTCTTAATTATGAAATAACATTAATAAATAATTGTTTTAAATAAAAGGACAGTCATTCATTAATGTCTGAAAAATAGTTACCATGACTAGATCATTTCAAAACTAAAATGTTTCTCTTTCACCAGCAATAGAGAGATTTCACATTTAAATCTTATAAGAAAAATATTAAATTCTTTGCAAGTGCAGTGAACTATAAAAAACAGGATCACTAAGAGATCCTGCTTAGAAAGTAAAGGTGTATACTTGAAATATCTGAAATCAGCTCAATATTTATGATCTATTGATCTGGATACAGAAGAGTTCTTGAAGAAGAGATACAAATGGAGTCTTTTCAGGCTTTGTGATGATGAGAGATGGAAAATGCTTTCTGTTATACCAATGACTCTTTCACAACATGTTCCTCCTCCTCTTTCTTTGCTTCACCAGGAGCATGTTCAGTCTCTGAGCTTGGAACGGGTGCAAGATTAATGGCAGGGGCTGTCTCTGCATCCAACCCACTGTTCCCATACATCTCATTCATTTTGGTTGCAATTAGGCCTTCTTTCTCGGGTGCTTCCTCTTTCAGGGCATCCTCATCTTTACTGTGCCTGTACATGTAGGAGGCCTGCTTCACTGAGCGCCTCAGGAGGTACCTTCGGAAAGCTCTTTGAATTTTTGTGGCGCATACTTCCTCATGTTTCCTTTTCAGAGTGGTAGTGATGGGTTCATAGGAAACCTTCGAAGGGTTTGCAGCCATAAACTTCTCTTCCATGGTGGCCTTCAAGGCATCCATCTCTCCTGAGTCTCCCAGCACTTCCTTTGTCAGGGCAAAGAGGATATCCAGACAGTGGATTTTGTCCCCAGCAACCATGGGTAGATCCATAGTGATTAGTTTAATCTTGTTTGGCTTGGGAATTTTGAGCGGTTCCTGTAAGGTATCTACAAAGTCAGACAAGGTGCTGTACTCAATGAACTGGGTGGCATCTGGGTCAAACTTCTCCCAAGTTTCATAGAACATTTCAAAATCATCTTCACAGAGGGGCTCGCTGCTCTCCTCTGTGGCCACGTTGAAGTTCTCCAGGATGATGGCAATATACATGTTCACCACAATGAGAAAGGAAATGATGATGTAGCTGCAGAAAAAGAAGATGCCAATGGAGGGATTGCCGCAGTCCCCTTTTACTGAACTGCCAGGGTTTTCCAGGTCTGGGTCACAGTCGGGGGGGCCACTGTTCAGGATCGGGCTGAGGAGACCATCCCATCCAGCTGACGTGGTGATCTGGAACAGGCAGATGATGCTGTTCCCAAAAGTTTCAAAGTTGAAGATGTCATCAATCCCTGCCTCCTTCTTTACATAGGCAAAGTTGGACATCCCAAAGATGGAGTAGATGAACATCACAAGGAAAAGCAGGAGGCCAATGTTGAACAGAGCAGGCAGGGACATCATCAGAGCAAACAAGAGAGTTCGGATGCCTTTTGCCCCTCGAATTAGCCGGAGGACACGGCCAATCCTCGCCAGCCTGATGACCCTGAAGAGGGTGGGTGATACAAAGTATTTCTCTATGATGTCTGAGAGGACAATACCTGTGAAAGGATGAAGAACTAGTGAGTTTGCCTCGCTCTGTAGCTTAAAAAGGCTGACAAGGTGGGGCTACTCCCTCTTTCTGATTACCATCAGTGCCAAACATCGAAACGAAGAGAGAGGTGAGAAAATGGTGCTGAGCAAACCCTAGGGCTCTCTGTGTCCTGTACTGGGATGCTAGGACCAGATTGCCACATCTATGGAGCTGCAGAGCATCTGCTGGTCAGCAGTGTCACACTGTCACACCAGGAGGAGAGCACTGCCCTGTCTGCCAGTGTTGTGAGGTTATGGTGGGGATGAGGCTGCCTTGAGTGGCACACAGCTCTCCTTGCTCCTCCAGTGGTGAAAGGAATACATCAAAAAATGTTGCTGAGCACAGACCCAAAGGTTAAATGCTGGCTGCTCTGTTTCAGCAGCACAGCCCGGCAATGTGGGAGATGAGGGGAGCCCAGTGCTCAGGGGAAGTGGAACATGTCCCTTGTCCCTCAACCTGCCCTGGTGGCGTTGGGCAGCCTCACATCTGTCTTGTCTTGGGGGTCCTGTCAGCTTGGCCCTGCTCAGAGAGTGCATTTAAGGGGGTGAGGGGTGATGGCTTGCTCACAGCGGATCAGCCAGACTGTTTCTGCTCTTTGTTATCCAGTGGGGACTCTGAGGAAAGGGAACCAGGCTGGTGGAGCCAGCAAGGCTTACCTACAATGGAGAGGATGACCACCACAAAGTCAAAGATGTTCCAACCGATAGTGAAGTAGTAATAGCGCAAGGCAAACATTTTGAGCACACACTCCCCAGTGAAGATAACAATGAAGACCAGGTTAACCTTGTAGAGGACATCTGTTTTGAATTGACTTTGATCATCTGTTTCGACCATCATGGTTACCATGTTAAGACAAATCAGGATCATGATGGTTATGTCAAATACTTGCTTGGTAACAAAGTCAAACACCATCCCTTGAAATTTGTTCTGTCATAAGGGCCACGTGGGTGATGTTGGAGAACCAGAGGTGAGGTGGGAACACATGACAGACACACAAAACAAAGGTACAACAGAAAGAGAAGAAGGAACCATGTTTAAAAGAGTGCAGGAGACATCAGGGTCATGGCCAGGGCACAGGTCTCATAGACCCAAGCACTGCAAGCCCCGGCTACAGGAGGAGGATGCTCAGCACCTTGCAGGATGGAGCCCACCTGGCTCAGGTGCTGTAACAACATTGCCAAGAGGTATAGGATCAGGGTTCAGCTACTTTCTAAGTATGTTCACACCTAATGTATCAGGGCAAAAATAAATACATGGGAAAAGGCCTCATTTATGCTGGGCTAGCAAAATCAAGCCCAAGTGACAGTTGTGTATGTATTAGCTGGAACAGTTTCCAGCTGACATTTGTTGGCCAACATTTCCCTGAGTCCAACTCCCTTTGAGAGAGGAGATGGGAGCTGAGCTAGGAGAAAATCTCATATGCCAATCCCTGCAAAGGATTTCACCCCACTTGCTCCTGCTAGCGGACCCAGGGCTGAAGAACAGACGCAATGGAGGCTGCCTGATGTGCTGGCCTCTTCTGAAGCCCCAAATCTTAGCAGGGTCCTATCTGAAGAGTAGGGGTGGGGAGCCAGGATTTGGCTCCTCGCGTAGGCAAATGCTCTTCCCTAGACCCTTCTCATTTATCTTCAGATAGTTGGTAGCTTAAAGTGCTCCCTTCCTGCAGCACTCAAGGTTGATTAACCCAACATACCGCAGGCCTGGGGATGGGCTTCTGGGGTTTCTTGGATCCAAGCTTCTTCATAGCATTATAATATTTCTTCTGCTCTTCTGTCATGAAGATGTCTTTCCCTCCAAAGTATAAAGCGAATTGCCACTGTTAATCTTGGGAACTCACTTCTTCCTACCAAGCTTCTCCAGTCGAGCTCCTATCAAGCTTGCTAGCTGTGCTGATTCAGTGAAGTATCCTTCCTCCCCACTTGCCCTAGCACTGCACTGTGGTTTCCTCCAGCAGAGGTGAGATGCAGCCTCCTGGCCCCATGGCAGTGCCTGCTGACTCTATCTGTGGCACCTACATGGGGTTCACCCCAGCTCCTTGCTTGTCTGCAGCATAAAGTCCCACCCTTGGTCCCACCAGGAGTGAGGCAGCACCTCAGTGTGGTTCAGAGCTTGCTCCACTCAAATTGCGCCACTCAAGGTTACCAACCATCCACCCACTTCTCCCTCCAGCAGTCAAGGGGTATTAGTCCTGTGCTGCTCAGTTAAAAGCAGAAGTTCAGTCTCTCCCCAATGCATGGAAAAATCATGAGAAGAGGCCTGAGAGGGTATGAGAAAAAAAAGAAAAATGAAGCTCTCCTCTGGGAACATCCTGGGGGTGGGAAGTGACTTCAAGCCCTCAGTGAGCATGGGGCCAGCCGGTCAGCCTGCTCCCACACTATGCATCACCACAGATCCTGGCTATGCCCATGGGACTGTCGCAGGGCACTTTGGCAGAAAGCAGCAGCATAGACAAACAGCCATGACTATTGTGGCACAGACAAGGGAAAACATAGCCTCTCTCGCTTCCTTCCCTGCACATATGCTGTTTCTCTGCCTTTATAAGAGAAGACCTCTGTAATGGCCAGGACACAAGCCCTGTGTGTTATTTGTCCAGCTGCCCTGACTTGTTCACTCTGTGGGAAGCCACTTAACTTATCAATTCAGGATGCAGGTTGCAGAGGGACCCTGGGGTCTGTCTAAACCCAGAAAATGTGGCCCTGGACCTCCTCATCCTAAGACCTCATCCTAGTGAGGCTGCAGTCCTCTGTCCCGGACCAGCGCCCTGGAAGGCAGCAGGAGCTATAGGAGCCGGGGCCCGGGAAATACTTATCTTTTTCTTCTGCTGATTGAAGTTGTCGATAATGACACCGATGAAGAGGTTCAAGGTGAAGAAGGCACCAAAGATGATGAAGATGACGAAGTAGATGTACATGTAGAGGTTGATCTCATACATTGGCTGCTCTTCAATCTGACCGAGCAAGATAGGAAACAGGAGACAAGACCATGCGATCATCCCTCTCTGAGAAGTGTGTCCCCAAGGCCCCAGACAAGGGTCACCATGTCTGGACAGAGCTGGCAGGTGGGTGCCCCAAATGCCTTGACAAGTGCTGTGTGGGCTGAGCAGTCCCCAGGGGGGCAGGGAGCAGTCACAGCACAGGCCATCTGCAGGACACCAGCTGGGGCAAGGGACAAAGATGCCCTGACCCCCTGTTTCCAAAGCATGTGCTGTGGGGAAAGAAAAGATGCTCTTGGCAAGGCTGAAATATAGCCAAAAGGGGAAGAAGAAAAACGGTTTAATTTGTACCACACCACCACACATGGGTGGCATAGCCTAGCAGCCTCAGAAAACATTCATCTCAAGGGATTTAGTTCTACCCCATATTTGAGTTAAGACATCTCGAGGTGTCACAGCTGGTTTCCCTCATCTTGAGGGAAGCTCTTAGTAGAGGAGGGAAGATTTTCTCCCAGAGCAGCCTTCTCCCATGTGCTGGTGGAGGCTGGAGCCTAAGCCCTTTTCAAAAGGAGCTGGAAACAGCTCCTCCACTCTCAGTGGAGTGCTGGCAGCTGCAGCTGGGGTGAGCAGAGCTGCTGTTTCTAAAGCTAAAAAAAGGCCATGAAAACAATACATTCAGGCCTATGTGGCATGTGCGGCTGACGCCCCTGAGCAGGACACAGGCAAGTTTGCTTTGTTTCATCAGCAAACACTGAGACGTTCTTCCTGCTGCATTGGCT